GGGCATTGTTGAACATACCGGACACAGGTGGGCGCCCAGTGTGTCGGCTCAGTGGTGGTCAACAGCGGTTGGTGTCGATCGCCGTAACAATGATTCACACGCCGGCACTGCTTATGCTGGACGAGCCAACTGTGGGCGTAGACTCACTGATCCGCTGCCGCATTTGGCAACATTTGCTAGACTTGTGCCAAAACAATAAAGGTAAAATGGTAAAATGTTTTAGACATTCTCTGAGCGATATGCAACTAAAATAATATAAATTTTCATAATAGTTAATTTACTATCATTATTAAAAATAAATACCAAGTTTATCTATTTTATCGTAAATATATTTTACATAGAGGATAATTGACAAAATAACAGGGGAACATTTTACACCCAATTAAAATAACTAATTCTAAGAAGTTATATTTGTGTACAATAATGCAATAGTATTACAGCTTGTAATTTATCAAAGATATCTATTATTTTAATAATATTTTAGTGTTTACAAAAGCTCATAGTAATGTCGATGTCATTTAGTCATATTTTATTATTTTAGATCAAACCGTAATAATCACTACACATTACATAGAGGAGGCACAGGGAGCACATACAGTGGGCTTTATTTACGAGGGCAAACTGCTGGCCCAATCTAACCCTATTGAATTACAACACCAATACCAATGCAATACATTAGAGGAGGTGTATTATAAACTCGTTTCTAATCAAGCAGATATAACGGTCCACATAAATAACAACACGCATCGTGACAATATGACCACCTCCGATAACACAGCACACCTACACAATACAGATGTTCAAATACTATGTGCAAACTGGCGACGTGTGCGGACCCTGTTATGGAAAGCGTGGCTACGAACACGTGGTAACTTACCCTATTTATTTATATACTATATGAATGTATTAGCAATAATCACGATTTTGGTGTGGGTGATGGGCCGGGACCCGAACCGCATGCCCGTCGCCATATACAACGCCGATCCGGACGGCGAGTTAGCCAAACAATTTATAGCAACCATAGATAACCGGCAGTTACAAGTCGTTCACTACCCGTCCAACGAGACGGCGGTTATGGCAGTAGTCGATGGCCAGGCGCTGATGGCCCTGAAGTTTGGGCCGGATTTTAGCAACGCTATGACCGCCAAACTCGCCGACCCGTTACGTGTCAGCGACGATGATCTGGCGGACAGTGAGATACGGGCGGCGGTCGACGCGTCCGATCAGGTGTTGGCCACTTTCGGCCAGCTATATCTTGTTCAAACATTTTACAAATTTATGGCAAATCATACCAAACACATCGGTCACAATCCGCTGGCTTACGGCCTACCGATAAGCACCCATATTACGCACGGGTCGGGTGGCGCCCAGTACTACAGGAACTACGCGGCGCCGTCAATACTCATACAGATTCAGTACATACTGCCTATGATTGGACAGGCGTTTGCTTTGTTGGGCGAACGGCTTATGGTAACGCTGGACAGAGATATATGCGCAGGAGTCCGACCCCTCGAGATCTTGATCACTCAGCTGTCGGTACACGGAGCGCATGTGGTGGCACAGTCGCTACTATCCCTGTTAGTAACGTTTTACTTCTACGGACTCACCATGGTCGGCGATCCGGCGCTGGCATTATTACTATTTATCATTGTGGGATTTAATGGTATGCTTACCGGTACCCTATTGGCACTGGTGTACGATGGCGCAGCGACCATAATGGTAATTTTATAATAAAATTTTATTTGACTCTATTATAAATATTCGTTTCATTGTTATTATTAATAGTTTCAAATAGTTTTGTTTCTTTCATCTAGATGCCTATTTCCGTTGTAGTATTTACACATATATTTATATCGGGCAACATCTGGCCAATAGAGGCTCTACCCGATTGGCTTTATTACATAAGCGTATGCGCGCCCCTAACACTGGCCAACCAAAGTTTGCGTTTGATCATGTTCAAAGGCGCCACAATCTCGGCCATCGCAGTTTGGTTGGGCATTGTGGTCAATATTATTTACATTGTTGTATTGTTTATTTTGAACGTTGTTTTACTTCATAAATTATAAACTACATTCAGGCAATAAATCTACAGTTGGTCTATCTTTTGTTACCTATTAACTAATTGTAATCTAAAATAATATAACTGTTTTGTATTACCCTATTGTTTATTTTAGAAAATATTTGGAATCAGCAAGCATTTCCGTATTTTAGCATTTTTATTTCCATAAATCCATTCATATTTTTAACCACAATTCAGTATGAATAATGTGGTTTATAAGATCGTTTGACCCACCTCCCCTCCCCCCACTTCCACCTACACAAGTGTATTTTGCTTGAGTGTATTTTCTAATTATAAAATTAATTGTCCATGATTTTAATTGCAAAATTAAAATTAGCTATATTAGGAATTGGCATAACTTTTATTTATACTGAATTATGATACACTATAATAGTTACTATTAAACTAATCATCACATGCCCTTTCCATATAAGTGAATGGTTTGAAAACGTAAATCATTTGTATTTAATATAGATGTGAATCACAAATTTTATTAAACCCCAACTCATATTAGTGTACATTATATATTACTAAAATACTATTTGTGAGCACAGATGTGAGCATAGCCGATTGATAAGCTATATTGTGTAGTAGATAATTAATTTTACAGATTAATAATTTAATTTTAAAATGTCATACTTGTTTATGTTATAAATTATACACTGAATGAAATATTTATCTAAATAAGATTTTATTAATCCTCTTTATTAATCCAATGTAAGGAAAGTACGCGAAATAAAAGTTACATAAAATTGGGAGATGGGAGTACAATAGGGTGTACAATAGGGAGGTGGGAGTATAGTAAAACTATAGAGGGAATAAAAACAAGAAAAATAAGTAACGGTGTTTGAGATCAGTTTTAAAACATGTGTTTATGTACAACACATCGCTGCCATCTATGCCCAGACTGTAACCTTTATACGGAAAAATAAGCTAAAAGGGCGTATGTATCATTATGTCAAATTGATTGTTCATTATAAGCCCTTTATCGAGCTATGAATTGCCTCGTAAATATTACTTTAATTACAAATACTAAATTGTTTACGGTTAATTAATTCTAACCAATGATGCTCAACACGTTTGTACGCGCCCTAGGTAATTTCCGTAATCTATTTACAGTACACTAAATGCTGTTCTAATACTAATACAATGAATTTATCCCGTTATAAAATCTCATAAATCAATGAATTAAATAAAATACTGGATATTTTCAAAGTCAATGCCAGTCTATGGGCGACACTCGCTATACAGTTGTGTGCTTTCATTTATTATACAATACACACTTTGCTACAGTATAACCTAGTTATTTATAACCACTTAACTTATTGTCATAAGTGAATTTAGAATTAGTATATTTTTGCAGTATACCTAGGTTATTTATTCAGCAATGCCTATTGCATATAATACTATAATTGAAATTATTTGCATTAAATAAAATAGATAAAATTATGGTAACTATAAATTGTGTACACTATTGAAATAATTACACGTTTGGTTGGATTTGATTGGAATTTTTATTGTATAATAAAATACATGAGAAATAAAATAAGATATTATTATTGAATATAAGAAAAAAATATTTATAAAACTTTTTGTATTATTTATCATAAAAATTGAATTAAGTTCTCATAAATTAAAGGCAAACATAACGTTAAGTTAGAGTTAAAAAATAGTTTTTTGTTGTTATAATATTTATATATTTTATAACAACTGTGTAAAAAGTGTCTGGAATTATAATTAAGTTATTCGTGTGTTTGAAATGGCCGGATCATGTGGGGTTACCAACAATTAACTGTTCCAGCTACATTTATAACAAACAAATAAAAATATTGTGCAATTATAAAATATATACAACACCATACATTTTTAAGTTATTTATATGTAATAATATTTTTTGCTAGGACAATTTTAGTTAACTTATTGCAACATTTGCAAACTTCTTGCTGCCTGGTCTCACCCATGTCTGGTGTCCCCCACTATCTATTGGTAATTCAAAGTTTATATACATACTTATATGAAATATATAGTTAACATGTATATATACGGTGAAAAGGGCGAACAATGTAATTTATCCCGTTTTTTCTACATCTCTCTTAACCAGATATATCAATGTTATTCACTAAACAAAAAGTATTTTTATTATTTCATTGAAGACTTTGGAAATATATAATAATTTATAGTCTTATGAAAGCACAGGACATAACACATTGAAAAATATATTGTTATTAAATATATTTCGGATCATTTTGCCTTTTATTTACAAAATTAGTGCTAAAATTAGTTTTAAAAATTATTTTTATTACAAAATTTAATTTATATTTAATTGTTTTTATATAATTCATTGTTTTATTTAATTATGAAATTAAGTGCAATTTTATGTCATTTTGTATCACTCTGTGTATGGGTTTGTGTCGGACAGAAAAACAATAATAATATTAATAATAACATTAATAACAACACTAAAGAATGCAATATTCGGGTCCAACAGAAAGTGGACACCAATTTTGGGCGTATATTCACGATCGGGACGTATAGAAAAATGCCCGAAAATGTGGGCCAAATGAGACGTTATTGTCAGTAAGTAATTGTATTATTGATTACAATTATTTTGAGTTGACCTTGATTGAGTTAGATTTGCGAAACTAAATGTACAAATGACAAAAATAACAATTACCCTAGATTTTTATTATCTTTTTACACTAGCTTTTCTAATCTAATAATTATGCCCCCTAATAAATATTGAATATCACATATTGTCTAACTTGATTGTGCAAGATTAATATTACATTCATAATTAATATTAATTACAAAACACTGTTATATTACATATTAAAATATTGCAGAATAATTAATCTATCACAAATGCAATTTAACATAGAGAAAACATGGACATGCTAAACTTCATAAAAAATTACACGGACAAATGCCTAGAGCATTTACCAAAACAAGTGTCATCGGTGTTCATATATACGGAACAGAAGACTCTATTCGATACGGTGTGCAAAAAGGACAGCAAACAGCGCCGGGATCTGTTCAAAGCGAGCCCCTGTGCTAACGCCGGGGCCAACGAGTTTGTCAAATGCCATCACAACCTCATTGACGCTATGGTGGCCCTCAAGTCGGCCAAAGACGATAGGCTTAAAATACCATACGTGTGCTGGTAATGTATAGTGATCTTGATCAATTTTAAAAAAATTTTCTCTGGTGTTGATTTAGTCCAAATATTTTATTAATTCAATAATAGACTAATACAAAACAGTTTAATTATTTTATGTTACAGTTAGTTAATAGGTAACAAAAAGTAAATATATTGCACAGTACATAAATATTAAGTTAAACAATAAAATTACTGTACCAATTATTTAGGGAACACTTGACTATGATTGTAGATAAGATGATCTAGCTAAATGCAAAATAATTATATTAATATAATTATGTTTTAACCAATTAATATCATCAAATAAATAGCTAATTAATAGCAAATAAAAATGTAATTCTATATTACAGTATTTAAAACAATAAATCAAAGAAACTCTTTACCCGATTAATTATAAAAATGATTACATGTAAATATATGACAATCTCGTTATTTTATATTACAGTATGTAAAATAATTAACTATAAAGGTTAAATATACTATTCATAAATATGTAAATTTAGTTAAATAATATTTTATTTTTTATTATTTTGATCTATTCAATAATAATCAAAAGTTTCATTTACATGATTGTAGGTATAATTATCTAGCCAGGCATAAAATTATTATTAAATTATTATCAAATTTATTAAATTAATTTGAATTATTATTCACTGTATGCTAATTGTTCATGTCATTATTATTGCGCACACATGGTAGCGAATACTGGAAAGTGCGGGCCTGTATGGTTCATTCGGGCAAACGAGTTGAACAGTGCGACAATAAAAAGGTGGACACAATACTCAAGTACATCGACTCGTTGACCGACAACGTGTTAGATCTATTATGTGGCGATTACCAGGAGGGCACCGATAAATGTTATCGCCTAGGTGACGCGCCCCGGCAGGCCCTAACCCGACTGACCCGATCAAAATCATTTCTTTTTCCAGTTATCGAGATGCTTAAGGATTTCCCCAATATTCAGGGTTAAATTATTTTGCACAACATGTTAATTTAATTATTTGAACCACACTCAATTTACATTATTTGCAATTAAACATCATGTTTAACACAATGTTGTTTATCGGTGCATGAATTTTGCATGTTTATTACTTACAATAATTTCATAACTTTTTACATAATTTAATTAACGACCTTTGCACACTCCCATTATTATAATACTAATTCTTTTTATAAAGGTCATATTGTTTGATTATTAACTTATAATTTATTCAAACATCTACATGCATAAATATTATTTAAACACTAAACAATATTACGCTATTATTTATTAATATTAGTTCATTGTTTTACATATAAATTGTAAAAATAATATTTTAATGTAGGTTATAATTCACGCCTTACGCGCCAGACCAAACTTTATAAATTAAATGTTCAATTCATTACATGTTATATAAGAATTAAATATTATAATTATTTATTTTTATGTAAATATTTTCAATACTCAATATTCATAAATGTATTTCTTAAGTGGTATTTAATTAAATCATTAACTTAAATGTTTTGTTTATTTTCACAAATAGCATAATAAATTAAATTAAATCTTTATTTCCATGTCTATCGGCTATAGATTAAGTAAAAATACAAGTTACCATTTTAAAATAGTTTCTAAGTATCTACATGTATATCAAAATTAACCTAAAGTTATTTGTTATAGTTAATAGCTTTAATATTGGAATTAGTATTTAATTACATACAGGAATTTGTAAATTTGTAAATCATATGTTATTATGTTTTTAGGATTTCTCAATAATCTATAAAGGTTGGATCGAGACAGGGATCACAAATTTTATCCTAGAGATTAACCTCAGAGGTTATCAATCAATCATTATATCCCAATAAAATACTTGCAAAAACTTGTATTTTTGTATAAAATATTAAAACTATTGGATTTTATAATCTAAAAGTTTAGGTCATATTATATATATGAAGGAGAAAACAAGAGCACACGTTTTATTTTGTATATTTTATTTATTATATTTATTAATCTAGATAGTTTATTCAATTACTTCCTATTTAATTGTGGAGTGAATTAAATACATGCTCTCTCTCTCTCTCTCTCTCTCTCTCTCATAGTTACATGAGAATGTAAGTCTCATTAACCCGGGGCTATTGGTTTTTAGGTAAATAAAAAAAGTGCATTTAGATAAATACGTAAATTAAATAAAAGTATATTATAGTACTGTAGTATTTGTATTTAATCACTATTATTTGGTATAATAAAATGTTTACTAATTTTTTGAAAATAACAAAAACAAAAATATGTATATTTTTCTGTCATAAATTCCTTGTTTATTGAGACACCACTTGAGTCTCTCTCTCTCTCTCTCATGTACTGTATTAACAATTCATTAGGTTATGTGTCTGAC